TAGCAAAGGCACTTGAGTCCAAAATGGCGGCGTGACTGTGCTACTCATCTTTCTGTTTCTAGTGTATTGAATAGGGGACATGTCTCTTTCATTATAAAGCATGAGGGAATGCATATATTTCAATCCTTTATTTTTGTGGGTTTAAAGGTACAACTGATGCAATAAGAGAAAAACAATATTAAAAACTCTGTACATTCAATGTTATTCATTGTATCATTCTCAAGATTGACTTACTTTGAAGTGAATCAGTTAATAGTCCTTCAGTTTAAAACAAATCATCTAAATTTACTACAGTTCCACAAACATCTACAGTTCTTGGAAAGATTAGCTGTGTTCTAAACTTGATTTATAACACATTTTTTTGCCACTGTCACCAATGGTGGGTAAGGATGAGTTGTAATTCCAGTATTTACATGGTTTCACCATAGAGTAGTAAAGAGAGTATAGAGCTACAGCACAACTTAGATTGAAGTTTGTGGTTCATTCACACTGTGTTGAGAAACCATTCTATTTTGAATATGCTCAATTTGTACTCCTCACTTCAAATATATCATTGTTAAGTATACTCTGAAAAATGATGCACAAAACTATCAAGGGACAGTACTTTGAGAAGAAGACTTGTACTTTGAGGCTGCCCTCTACCATAAAAATCACAAGAATCAACTATTTTGAACCCCAAATCACTATTACAATAGGTTGTAACAGCAATACACCTCAGTGTTATTATGAAATAGGTGTTGTTTTCAGATATGTGCAACTCAAAGGCTCTTCATAAAGAGGGACAGTACTGATCTCCCTCTACTGTAGTTTCTTGGTGAACAGTACCAGAGTAGCTTTCACTGTATTCCAGTTGATAATCAGTGTCAAACACATGTAATGCTGTTGGTAATTCTGACTGCATTATAAATGCCTGTCTGGTTAATTGTGACAAACTTGAATAAAATAGATTCCTATATTTATTATTTGCGCAGGATCATTCGCAGTCAGCTGACTCCCCTATGTGATATTGTAATAAAAGCAAAGAGCACAAACTCATTGCAACACACTGTTGTCCTACATTCTGTCCTAAGACTAACTCATTATCTTGACCATAGAGAGCTGCTATTGTTTTGCTAGGGTCAACATATATTGGAGGACCAGGATTTTTTTCTATGTCTCTATCTCAGTATAGTTGCAATAATTTGCTACATGAGCCTCACTCTTGCACGTGAACATATCAGTTTGTTACAAGAAAACAATGTTAAATATCGACTGGCACGATATTTAATCTTTCTTATACTTTGACGAATTCTTTCACGACAGTTCAACTAAAACGTCGTTTTATTTAATAGTTTTTTTTTTCATTTACATAACAGTACAATGTAGATGACATGGGTATATATGAAAGAATACGTGCATATACAAATTCTCTTGTTCCTACTTTTCAAACTTCGTATTGGTATTCTGCTTGGTTCACGATCACGTCTACAAACACGATGTGATTTGCGTTCATGCTTCTCTCGATTGACATTAGATGGTTCATTTAATATAGCATGTTTCTCGATGAAAGGTTCACTCGTAAAGAGATCTCTCACAAGGTTCGCGGACCGACCCGTTCCGAAAACGCTCGAAATCCTTTAGTGTGGGTCAACCGCGAACGCTGTGTGCATATTTTGCATGCATTTTCAGCGTATTATACACAGTATCTATGCTGATTTTGCACCCCAAATGCTCCTCTTCTTTAGCCATTACACTATGCGTTCAAAAGTTCGCGCATGCGTTCAAAAGTTCGCGCATGCGTGTTAAGAATTTAATTGCTGTTTGCAGCTGAACAAAAGGAAGAACGAAGCCGGAACCCGAGTTATAACACATTGAAACTCTTCAAAGCTAGATATGGATGTGCAACAACTGTTTACAAATCTCAAGAAGGAAGCCGAGTGTCCGCTGTGTCTAGAAACAGTC